TAAATGCTTATTTAACCAATGAATGTTAGAAATAAACTTACGACAGACATGTTTGTAAGCTGAAAATTGCTTGCAATTTAAGTTTTGACTTTAGTGACATCTTGTGGACATAAAAAGTGTTGCTGATACAAGTTCCATATTAAATTATATAGTGAAACAAAAATACAGCTTAGTCTTTAAAACGTTAATTTTTAATTTCATAGAAAAGCTATTGTCCTTTACTAGAAAAGGATGACGTGATAGGTAGCTACCAAAGCTCTTTTGGTGTGCTAGCAAGTATTTTCATTAGCACTTAAAAAATACTTTTGCGGGGCGCCTGGGTGGCGCAGTCAGTTAAGTGTCCGACTTCAGCCAGGTCACGATCTCGCGGTCCGGGAGTTCGAGCCCCTCGTCGGGCTCTGGGCTGATGGCTCAGAGCCTGGAGCCTGTTTCCGATTCTGTGTCTCCCTCTCTCTCTGCCCCTCACCCGTTCATGCTCTGTCTCTCTCTGTCCCAAAAATAAATAAACGTTGAAAAAAAAAATTAAAAAAAAAAAAAAAGAATACTTTTGCAATAATGACCTGCTTGTAGGAAAGCAGAATTTTAATTCAGTGAACAGATAAGTGCTATACTTTAAGAAAGAAATTACATTACTACGAATTCTAGTTTTTCCCAAATTTTGTATTGTTTGTATTTCTACAAAAACAACCTAAGGCGCCTGGGTGGTTCAGTCGGTTAAGCATCCAACTTCAGCTCAGGTTATGATCTCACGTATCGTGAGTCTGAGTCCCGTGACAGGCTCTGTGCTGACAGCTCAGAGCCTGGAAAGCCTGCTTTGGATTCTGTGTCTCCCTCTCTCTGCCCTTCCCCCACTCACTCTCTGTCTCTCAAAAATAAATAAATGTTAAAAAAAAAATTTTTTTAAAGGGGCGCCTGGGTGGCTCAGTCAATTAAGCGTCTGACTTCGGCTCAGGTCATGATCTCGCGGTCTGTGAGTTCGAGCCCGGCGTCGGGCTCTGTGCTGACAGCTCAGAGCCTGGAGCTGCTTTAGATTCTGGGTCTCCCTCTTTCTCTGCCCCTCCCTAGCTCACACTCCCACTGTCTCTCTCTGTCAAAAATAAATAAACTTAAAAAAAAATTTTTTAAAAAAACAACCTAAAAGATCTTGTATATTACCTTGTTGATAACACTGCCAAGAAAAAAAAAAAAAAACTTAGCAGGAAAACATAGTTTAAGTGGCTAAGAATCACCACACTGATGTGGAATGGGTAATTTACTATCTGATGAAACAGGTGCCTGGGTTCTGGTCCAAGTTCTATTATAATATAGCTAAGTGACAGGGAGAAAGTCATTTTATTCTTCTGATTTTACTTCTCACGTATGTCAATGAAGCAATTAAAATATCTAAAGTCCTAAGGAATTCATTCTATTACTTGGTAATTCGAAGACTATAACATTCTCCTTGTCTGCCAAAAACCACAGATATTGTTTTTAAGTTTATTTATTTATCTTGAGAGACAGACACAGTGCTTGGGGTGGGGGGGGGGGGTTGGGTAGGGTCAGAGAGGGAGAGAGAGAATCCCAAGCAGGCTCAGCACTTCCAGCACAGAACCTGACATGGGGCTCAAACCCACAAACTGTGAGATCATGACCTGAGCCAAAACCAAGAGTCAGACACTCAACCGACTGAGCCACCCAGCGCCCCACAAAAACCCGAGATTTTTAAAGCAAACAGATTTATAATTAGTCAAGCGTAGGTCTGCTGACCACTATTTTACTTTCAAGGTGTGGTTGCTCCTCACTATTCATGTATTCTGTATTACAAATTTGCCTATTCTCTTAAAATTTGATAATCTCAAAACTTGCAGTGCTTTCCCAGTCATTTGCAGACATGTGCACGGCAGTGAAAAATTTGAGTAGCTTGATGCATAAGCTAAGGTCAAATATGGTAATGCACTGTCTTTTGTTTCGGCTCTTTTACTATAAACCAGTGTCCTTTTGTGGTCTATTTAGTGCTAGGTTTTTGGCATTACTGTGCTTTTTATAAGTGACTTTGCTGTTTAAAATATCCCTCGAGTCTGATGCTGAAGTGCTGTGTAGTATTCCTAAGTGCAAGAAGCCTGCAGTGTATCTTACAGAGAAATCCTGTGTTAGATAAGCATCGTTCAGGCATGAGTTACTGTGTGGTTAGCCGTGAGTTCAACGCTAAAGAAGCAACAATATGTATATTAAACAAGCTGTCTTTAAACAGAAACACACATAAAACAAAGCTATTTATTGCCTGGCTGACAAATGAATGTTGTGACTAGAGGCTCATTGGAACCTAACCATATCTCTAAAGCCATGGTTCAGCGTTCGCTCTCTTTCAGAATTCATGGTGACTTTAAAGAAAGTAACTACGGTGAATAATGAAAACTGTGCTCATAAAACATTTTCTTAAAAGTGTCATTCCACAAAACATTTTTGATAAGCATCTCTGAAGGACCAGATGTTGTACTAAGTGCTTGAAAAACTAACACTGACATGACAAAATCCTTACATTCATATTCCATACTTAAAGATTTCACAGGTTGTGGGCTGACTTTGAAATTTTCATTAAGTGAAGAAAAAGAGGGGCGCCTGGGTGGCTCAGTCAGTTGAGCGTCCGACTTCGGCTCAGGTCATGATCTCACTGTTCCTGAGTTCGAGCCTCGCATCAGGCTCTGTGCTGACAGCTTGTAGCCTGGAGCCTGCTTCGGATTCTGCCTCTCTCTCTCTCTCTCAAAAATAAATAAACATTAAAAAAATTTTTTTAAAAAGTGCAGAAAAAGATTAGAGCAGCAAGTATGAGAAATGGCGTAACTCATGAGTTCTTGCTTTTACCCAAATCAACCCATCTGCAGTACTTTCCCTGCTAGCTCCACAGATCCAAAATCTAACTTAGCTAAATGCCAGAGCCCCGATTAAAAGTAATTTCTTCATTCTCAAAACTCGTATTCATGAATGCGTATATTCACTCAAAAAACATTTTATGTAGTCCAACTATGTGTCAAACACTATTCTAGACACTGGGCATATAGCTGTGAAAAATTTAGGCAAAGTTCCTATCCTCTTAGAACTTAGTGTGGTGGAGGTGTGGATAATACATATTTATATATGTCAGGTGATCAGAGCACGCTAATTAAAAAAAAATTTTTTTAATGTTTATATTTAGGAGCGAGAGAGAGTGTGAGCAAGGGGGTAGGGGGTGGGAAGTGGGGGGAGGGCAGAAAGACAGGAAGACACAGAATCTGAAGCAGGCTCCAGGCTCTGAGCTGTCAGCACAGAGCCCAATGCGGGGCTCGAACTCACGAACCATGAGATCATGACCTGAGCCAAAGTCGGATGCTTAACCAACTGAGCCACCCAGGTGCCCCTAAAGGCAAGGTAAAGTATAGAGTGAAAGGGTGAGATGACAGAGGAACTGGGGAAGGCCTCTCTCAGAATACAAATGAGCAGAAATCTGAAGGATGTGAAGAATTAAGCCATAAATCTGGAAAACCCCATCCAGGCAGAGGGAACAAAATATGAAAAGGCCCTAAGGCAAAAATGTGCTGACAGGCACATTAAGGAAAGAGCAGCAAGCCTTAGTGGATTACCCTAGGAGGTAGGAAGCAAACTCAGCAAGGTAAAAGGGACCACACCGTGTAGGTCCTTGTAGGGACTGGCAAATGTTGGCTTTTACTTTCTCATTTGGAAGAGACATCTGCAACTCATCTGTAGAGAAAAGACCCTATTGGGGCAAGAGTAGGAGCAGCGAGATCAGTGAGGAGGTTTTGGAATAATCCCAACTAGAGAGCCAAGTGGTTTAAAATTACAGTAGAAGAGTTAATGAGAAGTAGCTAGATTTCAGATACATATATTTTTTCAGATATATACCCATATATATGAGTTGAACAAAGAGAAGTCACAAATGAAGCAAACACTTCTGACTAGCCCAACTAAAAGAATACAGATGCTGTTAACTAAGATGGGGAAACCAGAAGTAACAGGTTGGTTTTGGGTGGGGGAAATCAGGAAGTAGGACATCTCTGAGTTAAACACACATTAAAATGTTGCAGATGCCCACTGGACACCTAAGGTTTATTGAGTAGAAATGAGGTTATGGGAGTCTGGAATACAGGGAAAAGGTAAAAAATGAAGATATGAATTTGGGAGGTTAGCCTAACAGAAAATATTTAGAGACCTGAACCTGAATGTGATTGCCTAAGGAATGTGAAGGGGTCCAAAGACCAGGCTTCAGGGCACTCCTATTTTTTTTTTTAAGTGTATTTATTTATTTTGAGAGACAGAGAGAGAGTGAGCAAGGGAGGGGCAGAGAGACAGAGAGGGAGAGAGAATCTCAAGTAGGTTCTGCACTGTCAGTGCAGGGCCCAACACAAGGGTCAAAACCAGGAACCATGAGATCATGAGCTGAGCTGAGCTGAAACCAAGAACCAGAGGCTTAACCAACTGAACCATCCAGGTGCCCTCCATGCCCCTCCCTCCTAATTTTTAATGAGAGAAGATTGGGAGTTTGGAAAGTTGAAAAAAACAAAGGGGACTGGGAAGGAGGAGTTAGTAAGAGAACGCATCCAAAAACAAGTAAAGAATGTGTTTAAGAAGAAAGTTCTTTATATGACAACTAGCCTGGACTCCTCAAAAGGTTAATGGCAGGAAAAAATAAAAGAGAAGGATTCTTCTACATTTAAAAAGACTAAAGGAACATAACAATTAAAGGCAATAATACATAAAGCTTGGTTGGGTCCTGGTTTTAAAAAAGTAACAGCTATAAAAAAATATGCATGAAACCACTAGGCAAATGTGAAAATGCACTGGACATTAAACTGTACAATTAAATTATGTTTATTTTGTTACGTATGATAATGGCATTTTGGTTACATAGGGGAATATACTTATTCTAGGAGACACATGCTAAATTCAGGGGGATTTATTGAGACATCTGCATTCTATTCTGGCATGAAAATTATGGATATTCGTGACAGATATAAAATGATACTCACTCAGTTGATGGTATACAGGTTTATGCAATCCTTGAAGTTTGATTGATGCCAAAGCAGCCAGTTTGCCAGGGGGCTGCATTTTCCCATCTAAGAGATACCAAACCCGAGCAAAAGTGGCCCATTGCTTGGGGAAAAAAAAGACAGAGAGAGAGAGACAGAGAGACAGAGACAGAGACAGAGAAAACAATAAAGAAAGTTCTAATTAAAATGGAAATAATTGAGATTATTATATACCATCATGTATATTCTACTGTTAATATCAATAATTACTTTGAAAAAAGATCCTGTCACTAAATAATCGCTTTGGTTTTGTTTTCATTTGTTTCTGGAAAAGGAGGGTCTTTTTACATTCTACAAAGATTAACACAGTAATTTTTCTTGCCTGCCTTCCTATTAGCAGTGTGGATGATATTTTATTTAAAACATTTCAAAGATATATTTTCCTTTATATTATGACAATTTTTGATATCATACAGAATAGAATCTGGAAGAGTAATGGGAACTCTTATGAAAGCAGAAACTGTTTATAAGGTCTTCAAAAATACTTTGAAGACTAATATGTATTAAATTGAAAAATGAGTAGCTAATTGGGAACTGAAAACTATTCAGCAGTTCAATTCCATGGAAGAGGTAAGTAACAGAATATAGCTAGACAAGTATAGATGGAGGATGTTGAATAAACTCAAATTTTACATAGCTGCCTTACACAGATATCTTTAGGCTGCGTCAGGCATAAACCATTGTCTTTGTAGTATCCATCAGTACCTTCAAGCTCTCAGAAAATTCCAGCCCATAGAGATGTCAACCAGATGCTTTCTGTATGCATATACACAGGTTGCTAAACAATGCTGGAAAAAATACAATCAGGCTAATTGGGTTTATTTTAAATTTTATTATTACAAACCTCATATCAGCTTCTAAACTGCTCACCATTTTTTTTTCCTTTCTTACTTTTCTAGTTTCTACTTGTTCTCCTCTCTTTTGTCAGATTTCTCTCTTAAGTATTTCACATATTTTGATGCCATTGTAAGTAGTATTGTATTTTTAATTTAAATTTCTGTTTGTTGCTAGTATATAGAAATACACCTCATTTTTTGCATTTTGGTCTTGTACCCTGCAACTTTGCTAAACTTATTTATCAGTTTTAGGAGCTTTTCTTAGATTCCATCTGATTTTTCACAAAGACAATCATGTCTTCTGCAAATAAAGACAGCCTCTAGCCCATATCTTTTCCCTAGTACTCTCAGCTTATGACTAACTAAAAAAATAAAAATAAAAATAAAAAAGGATTCAAACAGTGGGAAGTCTATAGGACAATCTTTTGTCTTCAATAAATTGCAAAGGAAAAAATAGGAAAAAGAACTTAAGAGAGAATTAAAAAACATGAAATTATTACATTCTAAATCCTAAACCAAAGGAACAAACAGTAAAAATGTATGTATTTCTATAACATAAATGAGAAAATTGGGGATTTGAACATATACTAGATATCTGATATTAAGGAATCATGATTACTTTTTGTCTTTGATAAATGGTATTGGGATTATATTTCCAAAAAGAATCCTTATAGAGAACATACTGAAATATTTATTTATGAAATAACAGGAATCTGAGATTCATCTCAGATTCATAAGGGGAAGAAGTGAATGGGGGGTACAGATGAAAAAATATTGGCTAGGAGGTTTTTGAAACTGGGCTGTACCTTCATTTATATAGGATTGAAATTCTCCATAATAAAGTTAAACAAAACAAAACAAAAAACAAACCCTCTCTACCTCACTTACCCACTGCCTCCTTTGTGGCAAAATTCTCCCAAAGAGTTGTCTTTACTCCAATTTGTCCTCATGCTGACTTCAGCCTGCTCCACCCTGGCTTTTCTTCTCCCACACCCATCACCCTCTCTCTATTGCCTGTCAAAGTTACCAGGACCTTCATGTCACTGAATCCCTTGGTCAATTCTAAGTCTTCAATACAGGTGATCATTTCCTTCTCCTGGATATTCTTTCCTCACTTGATTTCCAGGACACCACCCTCTGTTGGTTTTTTTCCCTACTTTGCTTGTTTTCCTATCTCTTGCCACTGAAATGTTGAAATGTTCCAGAATTCAGTTCTTGGTCCTTCTCTCTTTTCTATACACACCTTCTCAATGACTACATCCAGACTCGTATGTTTACATGTCATTTCCATGCTTATGACTCCCAAGTGTAGAAATTTACATCTCTAGCCTTGACCTCTTTCCTGAACTCTACAATTGTACCAATTGCCCATTTGGTAGCTGCACTACAGTGCTTTTTAAACCATCTCCTAAAGGCTAGTTTGTCCCCATTCCATTGCAGATCAATATTTTGATAAAAAAAAAACAAAAAACCTTGTTCAAAAACCATTAAAATACCGCCATATCATCAAACTGCTGTAAAGTTTTCAAATTTTTAATTTTACTTCTTAAATTTGCTTCCTCCAGGAGAGGTAACAAACAGTTCAAGGAAGGAATCACTCCTGGAGCAGGACTGGGCTAAGAAGCATCTCAGGTCAACAGACCCAAAGCTGAACTCCAGCTCTTCTACCTGAAACCTGCTTCAATTTCAGTCTTCCCTATCTCAGCTGATGGCACACGCTTCCGGTTTCAGAAACAAAAAACCTTAGAGTAATCCTTGTTCTTTCGTTGTCAGCTCACATTCAATCCTTCAGGAAATCCTTTTGACTCCACCTTCAAACAAAACCTTAGCACTTTTCAACCCTATACTGTCTAGTTCGGTTTGTGCCACCATCGTGTTTAGCCTGGATCACTGCAGTTGGCCTCTAAACCGACTCTTTGTTTCTACCTTCCACCAATCCCCACCTCTGAACAGTCTATTCTTAACTCAGGTGCCAGAGAGCTCCTTCTAACACTTTTAAGTGAGATCACTGTCACTTCCTGGCTCCAAACCCTTCACTAACTAGATCCTCATTTTATTCAGTAATAAGCAAATCCTTACAATGGTCTACAGTGCCCTATCTGAATACTCTTTCCTTAGAAAAAAAGTCATGAAAAGGGCTAACTGAAAAGAGGAGACGAATACCAAAGAGAACAACAGCAAGCGGCGGCCAGAATCACGATTCTCAAAAGTGCTTTCCCGAGGCATCATCTCCTGGCCCAGGAACTCCTCTTTCCTGCCCACTCAGCATCACTAAATCCACCGAAGCCACTGACTTCCTTCTGCCAGCATAATGAACTCCATCAAGCCACAAGAGTTCAAGCTCACCTGGGGCGCCCTAGAGAAACTCGACATTTTCTCCACTTGCAGGACCGTCCTACTCCCAGGGTCCACAGCCAGACCCCAGCATTAATGGCCCGGCGGGAAACATATATGGGCAAGCATGACAGTTCCTAGGCCAGCCAGCCGTCGTCAGTTTCTCTGCCTTTTCTGGGTCTCCTCCAATCTTCCCATGGTAGCACTTTCATCCTGACAGGAGGAAATAATGCAGTCATTGACAGAATAACTCCCCCAAAGAACCCGCCGGCTGGAAAAGCTGAGGCAAACCGACCCAGCGCGCACAATTTCCAGCCGACCTAAATTTGGTGGATGGAAACCGGAAGTGCCTAAGCAGCGCGCGACTATTTGGATGTGGAAACCAAGAGCTGAAATAGGAGCTCGGCTCGAAGGAGATGGATCGGTACCTGCTCCTTGTGATCTGGGGGGAAGCAAAAGTCCCGTCAGCAGCGGGTGGGGAAGTGGATCATGGGCCTGGGAAGTCGTCCGTTGAGGGTACCGAGAAACAGCCGGGTAAGCGCAGGGCTGAGAAAGAGCGGGAACAGGGCGGGGAGGGGAAGAAATTTAAGTTTGAGATCAAGTTCTGCCGGTGTGGGAGGGGGGCTATCTCGAGTTGTCCCGAGAATCTGAGACTCTATGGGATCGTCCCAATAAGGGCTGAAAAATGTCATTATCTTCGTGGAGAAATAGGGACAAATTTGTGGATGCACAATTCCAGTACTCAGAAGTTCTTGGCACAGTAAAAATTTAACTGATTTATTCTCTGTGCCTTCGGAATGGAATGTCTTCTTGTTAGAAATATATGCATTCAATAGGCGATTCCGTCAACTCTATGTTCCAAATACAAGTAATACAGAAAGGAACAAGATGGACAAGGATCTTACTCTCCTAGAGTCTACATCCTAATGGGAGGAGATATCCTACATATAAAAACTAAGATTTAAAAAAATGGTAAATTTAAAACAATCGTGACCGTTTGAAATTACACTCCTTTTTGGTGTTTCTGTCTATAATCCGCACTGCATTTTATTTATTTGTTTGTTTTGATTGAGCAGGCATCTTGAGGAGAAAATATATGTGGTTGTGTATAGAGTATTGTGACAGAGTTTCCCTTCTCTGCTTAAAATTATCCTTTGGGGGGAATTTTGAATATTTAACTGGCTAGCGTGTATAAACCAGAGGAGCCTTTTGGGTTTTCTCTGTGTAGCTCTTTTATGTACAACATGTTTTTCTGAAGAGTCTCTGATGGTGAAATTGGAATAGGTCTAGATTATGTAACTCTTGTGCCCATTGAGTTAGTTTGCCTTTTCTTTTTCAGATTTAACAGCAGCAAATGTTTATCACCTCCTGAAAAGGAGCATTAGTGCTTCAATGAATCCAGAAGATAGTACTTTTCCTGGTAAGTATAACACGAACCCCTTTTTTCTCTGGCCCTGTATTTGTATTGGAAATAAATTTGATTAATTTGGTCACTTAAAAGTATGAAAGATACTTGTTGACTGCACACATCACTGGGATAGGGAGATAAGTAAGGAAATACAAAACTGAAAAAGATGCTAATTCCCTCTTCCTGCTGCTTGAATGTCATTAAGTTGTGTGAAAATTATTATGAAAATTATTCTAGGTTCTCAGCTTGGCTTTTGTTCCCTTTGTGGTATTTCCTTGCCCATCTTTAGCTCCATATATAATAGGGTAATGTGGTATTATAAGGAGGATTTATGATTTGGCCTGAGTACAAATACATTATTAATGCTCTTACACATTTCTTACCATTTTTTTCCACCCTTATCTCTTATTGATTTTCTTAAAAGCACTTCATAATTGTTAAACACAGTAATCTTGTCTCCGTTCTTGTCTGTTTTACCTTTTTCAAAGTATTTGGCTTATTTGACCAGCCTTTGCTTTGTAAAAATCTCTTCTCCTTCGGTTTCTGTTGGCATTATACAAATCCATCTACTTTTTTTTTTTTTTTTTATAGTTATCTTCTCTTTTACTTCCTCTTCTTGGCCTCTGAGAGTGTCTTTCAAAGGCTCAGAAAAAGGAGATAACCAAAACAGACCAAATTAAAAGCTGAAGGAAGTTTCTGGAGATGCTCTGGGTAGGGTGCTCATTCATGCTGCCCTAGTCTGTTTTGGTTATAAATGTTCATGCTGCCCTAGTCTGTTTGCCAAGTTGTGGTAGTACTCATTACTTTTTCAAGTTGGTATAATTTAAGTCAATACTACTGGTATTGCAAGAAAGCTTTTCTTTCACTTATGCCTCGAAAGTATACATTGAAGAAATATTGGGAGCATTATAGGAATTCTTGGGATAACTTTTGCTACCTGTTTGGGTAGATAGAAGTTTCTTGTCCAAGGGGCGTCTGGGTGCCTCAATCTGTTGAGCATCCGACTTCAGCTCAGGTCATGATCTCTTGGTTCCTGAGTTCAAACCCCACATTGGGTTCTCTCTTTCACAGCAGCTATTTTTAGAATCCATTTACATTAGATTTGAATGTCACTTTTGGTGTTAATCACTTTTTGCTTCTTTGCTGTGCCTTTATCTTTTTTTTTTTTTTTCCTTTTGCCAATTTCCTCTTCCTGTTACCCATTTTTGTAAAATATGTAAATTTATCACTGGGAGACAAGAAGGAAACACAATTACATATTTGTCATCTATTCATATGAACTGAATAACAGCTATGCAGTGACCAATCAGCAACAAACTTTGAAAAGTAGTAATGTGATTGGTCACTGATCATGATACACATCTTTGATTTATGTAGTGATTTGTGATATGAGAAGCTAGCAGTGAAGTTTTGCTTTAGGCAATTACAGTTGATTAATAAACCATGATAGCTGCAGTTTGAGCCCTGTTTTGGGGGACCAGGTGTTATTTAAATCATGGGAACTGAAATCTGCATATCAGAACCATGCAAAGAGATTGAATTTCTTACCCTGTGAACATTATTGCTTTCAGTAATATGGCAAGTCTGAGAAACTGGAAGTATAATATGATTATAATTGAGATAAGGCTGGAGAGATAGGCATAGCAATGTGGAGGACTTTGTAAACCATGTCAGGGCTCTTGGACTTCTTTATAATGATAATTAGCCATTGAAGGCCTTAGTGAAGGAAGAGATCCGGTGACATCTGTGTTGTTGAAGTATTCTGGCTACAGTATAGTGGACAAATTGGAGGAAAGTATAGGCATGAGGGGGCTGCTGCAGAAGACCAGCTAAGAAGTAAGAGAGGTAGCCGAGGTAGAGGAAAATGGATCTGAAAGAAATTATGGAGGTAGAATCCACCTGACCTAGTGTTGCATTGGTGTGATTCAGGAGAAGGGTAGTGTGAGAAAGCAATCAAGAATGACATTAGATTTCTGGCTTGGGTATAGTATAAGTGGTGGCATTTAGCAAGATAGGAGAATTAGAGTTTGAGGCATGGTAGATGAGGGGCCATAAGACAAGCTGAGTGAGAGCCCAGCACAAGCTAGCACAA